CCTTTAAAAAATAAACCACATAAAATTAATTCATTTAGATTTATAGAAGGGAATAGAAGTGATAGGAGGGTGGTGTATTACTGTTACTTATATGTTTTTCAATCAACCTACCTTTTCCCTGGTTCCCTTTTTACAGGTAAAGGGAAACTGTATATCTTATATCTTATTCTGCTCAGGCTGCTATGACAAAATAGCACAGACTGGGTGACTTAAACAACAGACATTCGTTTCTCATAGTTCTGGAGGCTGGAAATCCAAGATGATAGTGCTGTCATGGTCAGGTTCTTGGTGGGAACTCTCTTCCTGGCTTAGATGGCTGTCTTCTCGCTGTGTTCTCATATGGAGGGAAGGAGGGGACAATCTATTTGGCTTTTCTTATAAAGACACTAATGCCATCATGAGGATAACACCCTCAAGTCTTTATCTAAATCAGACCACCTCCTGAAGGTCTCACCTCCAAATACCATCACACTGGGGGTTAGGGATTCAATATATGAATTTGAAGTGTGTGTGTGTGGGGGGGGACACAAACATTCGATTCATAATACTACTTTTAAAAGAAAAATAAGAAACAAAAAATTCAAACTGATGCATTTTGAATGGTCCTATAGAGCCAAGTATTCAAAAGCTAAAGAAAGCTTTAGGAATAAGACAAAATTTATGATAATGCCTGTATCATTGAAGATTAAAATGTAACTTTTATGGGTGAAAAGAATATCATTTTTTTTTTTGAAAATTATACTTAAGAGTGTTTAAAGATAAGGAATTCAGAAATTCTGGTGGTGTGGAAGGGCAAAGAGTTGATAAGACCAGGAAAAAAAAATCATGTTTTACCTCCTTTTATATAAGTACGCTTATAGTCATCTCAATAATTATGAATAGCTAGAGAGATTTTTCTGTGATAAAATGTCTAGTAGATTTAACTTGTAGTGAGCAAGCAAATTTGAAGCCACCCCTGTTGCATGGTTAGTGGGGATATGGATGCCTCAAGTGCCTCTTCAGCACCTTGGTGGCCAAGCCATCTGCCCCCTCCCCTCCCACTGTGCTCTTCTCTCCCCTCTCCCTTCTATAGCCCTTGCAGAAGTTCCCAGTCCTACTGCCCCTGCTATGGACAGGTGCATGAAAGCATGTGTTGGTGGTGGTGGAGTTTCCATCCCCATCAATTCCAAATTTGTCGGGGAGGGGAGGAGAGGTGTCTCAGGGGTCCCAGGTGAAATGAGGAACAAATATTCACATTGAATCCATGTTTATCAAAGCAGTTAATTTCTACAGAAATTCCAGTACCAATGAGTAGGTTTACTGAAAAGCAAATGGGGCTTAAGTTTCCTGACCTTCATTTACATGAGCCCTTCTAAGGGGCTGTTGTGCTTTTGCCTTTTTTATCTTAGGGGTGGCTCCCCAAATTGTAAGTGCTTCAAGCCCTACAAATTCCGAATGCCTCTGGTCATTTAATTATGGCCTTACTTTCATGGGCTTCTGTAGGCTATCCTGGAACCTCATCACTACCGTATAAAATGTTACTTCTAAGGAATGGTTTCTATTAAGAAACAAACAGCAATTACTAACGATTTACGTACAGTGTGTTCCTGACCTGGTTAATTGTCTGGTCTCTAACTAGGTACTTAGTGAATGTTTGCCGATTGAATGATGATGAAATAAATGAAGGGAAAATGGAGTTAAAACACTCATTGAGTGCTTCTCTCTGGATGGTGAATAAAATAAAAATATGATTTTTATTTTATTCAAAATTGAGTTTTTAAATTTTGAAAACTTCTACCATGAACTTCAGTTACTTTGAATACTTTAAAACTAGCTTTGAAAGTTTATAGTATGGATATTCTTTTATCTGTGTATGTATGAAATGCTTTCTCTGTGGCCTTCTGTCATTTCTGAGGCTATCTAGTCAAACAAACCTTACCCACCAGAAATCTCTCATGCCAACCACTATCTGAGCCCTTAAGGGATAGAATACTATCCAGGTTAATGACAGAGATCTTGGCCTGTTCCGGATGACCTATCAGTGGTCCCCAACCTTTTTTTGGCACCAGGGACTGGTTTCATGGAAGACAATTTTCCCATGGAGTGTGGTGCGTGGGATGATTCAAGTACATTACATTTCTTGTGCTGTCAAACCTCTCTGCTAATAATAATCTGTGTTTGTGGCTGCTCCCCAGCGCTAGCACCACCGCCTCAGCTCCACCTCAGCTCATCAGGCATCAGATTCTCACAAGGAGCGTGCAACCCAGACCCCTTGCATGTGCAGTTTACAGTAGGGCTCAAGCTCCTATGAGAATCTAATGCTTCTGCTGATCTGACAGGAGGCGGAGCTCGGGCGGTGATGCAGGTGATGGGGAATGGCTGTAAATACAGATAAAGCTTTGCTTGCTCACCTGCCACTCACCTGCTGTGCAGCCCGGTTCCTAACAGGGTACTAGTCCCTGGCCTTGGGGTTGGGGACCACAGGTCTATATAGGTAAGGGAAGAAGAGAGGAGAGGAAGAACAAAGCTTGTTGTCCTCAAAAGAACCTTTTATATAGATATAGATATGTACGCAGACACACACACCTTAATTATGCATTTATTTCATTGTATCACAAGTGACAGTTTTGGGTATGGCCTAAAAACCCCAGGGAAAATGTACTACATTTGGATAAATCCAGCAGCTGGGTTTACTCCCACTCCTGACTTTCAGGAGGAATGTAAAGAGAATAAACTTGTATCAAATTTGAGTTTATAATATATATTTGAAATAATAGCTTCTATTTATTGAGTTCTTATCATGTGGCAGGCATTATAAAAGTGTTTTATGCGCACTGCCACCTCATTTTATTTTCCTTTTACTTTTCACAAGCTTATGAGGTAGGAACTATTATTATCAATCCTGTTCTACAGATGAGTTAAGAAAGAAGAAATCAGATAAGTTAGGGCCGAGTGTGGTGGCCAACGTGGGAGGATCACTTGAAGCTAGGAGTTCAAGACCAGCCTGGGCAACACAGCCAGACCTGTCTCTACAAAAAATTAAAAAATCTGCAGGGCGTGAGGGTGCAGGCTGTAGTCCCAGTTACTAAGGAGACTGAGGTAAGGGGATGACGTGAGCCTGGGAGTTGAAGGATACAGTTAGCTATGATTGTGCCACTGTACTCCAGCCTGGGAGGGTGAGGCTTGTCTCTCTTGGGAAAAACAAGTCACTTATGGGATGGTGGCTGCTGCATCTGATTTAAATCCCAATTTCTCTACCCTCCCTTCTTAACTACTTCTTTCCAAGAGGCTAGACTACAAAAAATTCAGGTTCCAAAGAGAAAAATGAACTAGCATATGGATAATTTAAAAAAGAGGAACATAAGTTGAGTTTCTCAGCTACTGGGAGGCTGAGACCAAGAGGATCCCTGGAGCCCAGGAGTTTGAGGACAGTCTGGGCAACAGGAGAACCCATCCCTAAAAATAAATAAGTAAAAAATAAAATAAAAATTTCAAAATGGAATAGTAGACTTTTGAATTGAAAAAGGGATGGAAAAAGGGATGGAAAAAGGGAAAACCACTTTTCAAAAAAGGCTCATCTCCTAGACATTAATGGGTGCTTACTAACTCATTTTATCAAACTATGAATTTGCTTTTCAATTGTCTTATCACTGTCACGGCTCTGATGTGTCCTTTTCCATTTTCCAACTTCATCTTGGCTGAATGTGAGAAATGATTCGGTTTGTGTATGATCCTCGAAGCCCTGGGAAGATCTTTCGCCCCTGTTGTTTTCTTGGGTGTTCTCACTCCGGGGGCCTGACATTCCTCGCGAGTCTAAGGCAACCAAGGAGCAGCGAAGCGCAGGGAACGCACAAAAGACAGCCAAAGGCTATCAGTGTAGAAAGATCAGTTAGGTGCGAACACGAAACACCCAACATTCAGGGGAAGAGGAGAAAAACACCCTTTCCCAGAGGGTGGGAAGCTGGTTGACCTTCTCTGAGGGTCCACAAAGAAGCGGACAGACGCAGCGGTGGACGGCTATCTTTCTGGGCCACCGACCACCCGGACGCTCCCAGCAGACACGGCCTCTGCGCTTGGGTCCTAGGCGACGACCGGGGAGGGTGGGGACAGGGGCTCGGGGCGCTGGGTCTCACGTTCTTGTCTTTCCTCCCAGTCTGCTTCTATAGAGTCGCCAATGGTTCATTCATCCTGCAGACGCCGCAGCTCGGGGCAGGGTGGCGGCGGTTCGGTGGCCGGCCCGAGCCAAAGTGACTGTGCCCACCCGTCCTGCCTGGCCTGGGAGGGAGGGCCCCCCATGGGCCGAGGATGCCCGGCCGTCCCTGCGTCTGCGTCCACCTGGCACAGCCCCGCGGCTGGGTGCACGGTCTGGCGCGGATCTCCCGCCGGGCTGGGCCCACCCGGCCACCGGAGCAATCGTGCGGCTCCGGCTCCGACGCCACTGCCCGAGTGATAGGCCCGGGGAGGCCGGAGGGGACGCAGCCTTCCCGCCAGGGTCTTCCGTCCCGCTGGCCGGCCGGCGCCGGGGCCGCGCGCGCGCGCACACACGCACGCACAGACACACACACACACGCGCGCAGGCTCGCACGCACGCCTCGGCCTCCTTCCCTCCCCGGCGCCCGAGCAGCCCCGGCGCCCACCGGCCCGGCCCCCGCCCAGCGCGCCGCGCCCCGCCGGCCTCCGCGGCCCCTCCCCGGGCGGGGAGCCCGACGCGCGCGGGAGCCGGGCGCGGGGAGGGACCGCGGCGGGGGAGTGTCTGGCTGCCCCCGCCCCTCGAGTGAGTGACTGGGCGAGGAGGTCCCCTCCCTCCTCCCTCAGTCCCTCCCTCGCCCGCTCCCCGCCAGCGCCGCTCGCTCCTGCCGCTCCCGGGGGACGCTCCGCGCCCGGCCGCCCGGCCGCCGCCTCTCGCACTTGAGTTGGAGCCGCGCGCCCGGGGCTGGAGGGCTGGCCGCGCCGCCTCCCGCACGCCCGCACGCGGCCCGGCGCTCTCCGGCTCTGCTGCGAGCGGCGGCGGAGGAGCCCGGCGCGGCGCGGGCGAGGAGGGAGGAAGAGCAGAGGCGAGGACGGAGGGCGGGGGGCGCGAGGCTGGCCACCTTCGCCCCCCCGCGGGCGCCCGAGGTAAGCGAGCGGGAGCCCTCGCCGGCTCCGGGGCGGGCGGCGGCGCAGCCCGGCGGCTCGCTCCGCATCCGCGGCGGCGGCGGGCGGGCGGCCTGGCGCCGCCGGCGGAGGACGGACGGAGAGGCAGCGCGGGTCTGCGCGGCCGGCGGGGCTGCAGCGAGGGCGGAAGCCGGGGTGGGCCCGCGGGGGGCGTCTGCCGGCCGGGCGCAGGGCCGGGCTGCGGTTGGGGCGCCGACGACTTTCGCCACCTCGAGGCCTGGGTGGCTGGCGTGAGACACCCCTCCGCACCGCAGCCCGCCGCCCGCGGCCTCCCTGTCCTCTCCGGCTCTGCATGTGGCCGCCGCGCTCGCGAGCCGAGCTGGAAGGAAAACCCCAGATGCAGAATTCTGTGCCAAGTCCCCAAGTCCCCGCTCCCGCTGATGGATGTGTCTGTGTGGGTGGTGCGATCCCCGGGATTTCTGAAGTTTTGACCTTTTTGGGGTGGCTTGTTTCGCTGCATCTGTGTGCCCGTCGCGGCGCATCCGCGTCCCTGCGAGGCGGCGGGGGGAGCTCGGTCATTGTACGCGGAGCGGATCGCACCCCTCTGCGGGCGGTTCGCGAAGTGCCGCCGCCGCGCTGCCCCTGGCCTGCTGGTTACCGTCCTTCCCCGTCACCCGCCCTCCCCCCTGCGGAGGCTTGCTTTTTTTCCTTCTCTCTCTTTCACTTACTGTTTGTGTGAGAGGAGTCCTGGGCTTAAGGGCTCTCATGGATGACCCATTCATTTCTCTTCTACAGCTCTGGTGGCTCGTGCACGTTGGTAAAATTTGGGGTGGCCCTCTTTGCTCCAAGAGTTGCGTGGTCAGAGATAAAAATACACACACACACACACACACACACACACACACACACCCGCACTCATTCTGAGATGGGAAGCGGAGAGAGAAGTAGTTTGTTTCCAGTAGGAAGTTGAAGACCTATGAGATGTCTTCCTTCGTCTGCGGGTTAGGAAGATTGTTTTCATATAGATAGTGCTTCTGTGTGCGTGGCTGGAAGACAGCCAGCCGTAAGTGCAGTTATTGGAGCAACTCTGAAAGTGATACGCCCTGGCCGCCCGGAACCTCGGTACGACACGCGCACTCTGACTCAGATGTCAGAGGGGGCTGACACACCATAGATTCCATGTAGAAGTTTTTTTCTTTTAGGAGACTGTACAGACCCTTTGGGGAAATGACAAGATCATTACACAGACAGATGTAATGAACACCTCCCTCTTCGAGGGGATGGGCTCACCTTCTACCTAATTAGAGCAACCTTTCAGTTTGGTAGATCTGGGATGTACCAGCAGAGAAACAAACATGGGTGGAGTGGACCCAAGCTGCTTTATCTCTGTCGTCGGTAGGAGGTGATGTTTCTGAAGGGTCTTTTAAGGCCAAGATGCTGAATTGGGGGTTCTTCTCCCCATTGTCATACATGTAGAGCTGGGTTGTAGGAACAGTAGAACATGTTCTGCGTTGGCTGTTTGGAGATGCAGTTGTCAGACATGGAAATTAATTTGGACTTGATCACCTATTTTGGTTTTCCTACTTATAAGGTAGGAAGTGACAGTGATAGGACAACTGAGTATATTTATAGGTATTAAACCGATGCTGGGACTAGCACTTCACAGATCAGATCACAAATGCATCCTCGAAATATACTGTTCTTTCATGTTTTCTGCTGTGCAAACCCGGCTCAGAGAACAGCCCTGTAACAGGGCCACTAGGGAAAGCAGCAAAAACAAGCACACTCAGCCCTTGGATGGGTAGCTGCCGGAGGAGGGGCGGGGTGCTTTTCTTGTCTAGCATTATCTCAATGGGGCAGATTTCCCAAGAAGAATGGCCTTGGGTGGTAGCGAGTTCTCACGTCCTCCAGTGGTAAAAGTTCATCCTGGAAAGAACCCGGAGGTTCTATTTTCCAGCTGAGCCTCTGCTGACTCAGTTTTACTCTGAGTTGAGAGAACTGATAATTTTCTTTTCTTTGCCTGTCATTTATCCTTTCCCTGCCCCATCTCACCTTAGCATTTAATGTGGATTTCTGGGAATTAATAGGCCGCTGAAGTGCTTTGAGCTTCCTGGAGAATCACAGGGTATAAATACTGTTTGCTGTGACGGACTGAAAAGCCCTGCTGAAGAGGAAGGTGGTTTGCGCCATTACGAGTGTCATTCCCAGGTTGACGGTGCCTCAGCACTGTGCTGGATTTGTGACCAGGCGAGCTTTGAGTGTTGCATCCTGAGTGGCCTGCCCCAGGCCCTAAGTGGCTCCCTTCTATCAGATGTTTTTGTCAAAGAAAGAGAACTGAATTCAGGCTGGGAGAGGGAGTATCATGGCACCACCCAACAGGGCAGGGGAGGGCAGGGGACATGTTCACAGAAGGTTCCCATGTGTGATAAGCATCACCAGCTTCATTTGAACTCGTCGCTATAACTTGTAGCCATATTGGGCACCTATTGTGGCTTACACATTTAAGTACACAGGGCATGGGGTTCTGGATCCTTCCAAGTTGTCTTCCAGCCCTAGTTGTAGGGTGGCCCTATGGAGATAACATGATAGTAATTCTGGAGGAATACTGGAAGAAGTTGAATGCCAGTTAACAGAGAAATTGGTTAAGCCTCACTCTCTTATGATACTTTGTTTTTCTTCAGCTTCTCAGAACCAAATATAAGGGGGGATGGCTTTGTGTGTCATGTGTGTACTTGCCCTCTTGCTGTTGTGCCGGCATCTCAGAGTGTGGGCCCTGCTTGTCTTTGGTGGCTTAAACTAGTCTGGACCTCAGCATGGGTAGAATGAAATCCAAACTCATCAGAGAGGTTTTAGGGGTAGTGTGTTCACGTGGACAGCCTGCAGCACTCCAGGAAGCCCTCTGAGCAGCACTGTGCTGATTACCAATCAGCAGGGAAGGTATGGCAGGTGTGATCTTGCGATGCAAATTTACGTGAAAATAATTCATATATAAAAGTTGACTTGCCTCCAACTTTTAGGAACATAGTGACTATGCAAATCAACTTATACATCTAGTAAATAGGAGTTCACTGAGGGATATAGGAGGGATCAGTGTTAGTTTCATGAAAATGTACATCTCTTAAAAAAACTATTTTGGAAATGGATATAGTGCAGCTCCCTCCCCAGGTGAAGGGAGGATTACATGACATAATGCGGGTGGGAGGACCCTGTACAGTGTGCATGGTATTCAGATGTCTCACTGACTTTTTTTCCCCCAGCATTACTCTTTAAAGATATTTTTATTTTATTAATATGTTTTTAACCAACAAGTACATGCATTTTTGGCCATTTCATGCATGTCCTGTTTCTTCTGTAAGCCTCAATTTTAGAAGCCCCATAGCATGGGGAAATAAAAGTTGTGCTTAATTAAGTTCTCTATAAACATGAAAGGCAGATTGCAATAGACTGGTATAAAGTACTGCTTAGAAAACTATGAAGACAGGATTAGGGTTTGGGTGCAGGAAGAGTTGTGACAGTGAAACTCTATTTTAAAAAAATGGTGACAGTTTTGACGTTAAGGGATCATAATTCAAGAGCTTATCTGAAGTGGCATGTAAATTATATATATACATATTTTTAAAGTAGGCAGTTATTTAGCTTGACTGCCTCAGTTCCAAAGTTTAATTTTGTAAGTTATAGTTGCAACAAGAAACAACATGACTTGCTGTGGTTACGCAATTATGACAAGAGTGGTTGGTTGGATGTAAACTGGGCTGGGATAAGCATAGAAATGAACACATAACAGTGTCTGCAGGCACCAGGAGTTAAGAAGTTTTTTTTTTTTTTTTTATTAGCTATGTTGCTGGAAAATGTATATCCCAGGTTGTAGGCTAGTCACCCAATGTAAAGATTGCTTTCCCTGTACACTTGAGAAAGGAGATGCGACTTCTCCGATCTGGAATGGAAACTGAGAAGATTAACTGACCAAGCTACTGGAAGACCAGGCTGTCCTGGTCATTTCGGCAGTCCCCATAGCAGCAGCACTCTACCTTGCACTTGGGAGTCACTCAGTGAGTGATCGAATCGAATAGAATTTGAATTTACTCATTAGTGAAGATCTATGATGCGTCAAAACCTCCTCGGAGAAATACATTAGATGCAGATTTAAGTTTTAATAAATCTGTATGGTAGTTTGTTAAGAGCTTCGTATTATGCCTCAGGTAGGAGTTTTAAATGTTGAAACATATTTGACAGGAAAGTAAACATACCAAACATGATGTCCTCTCAAATTACTGGAATTTCTTGCTAGGGGCACCTTGATTTGGAATACATGTAATTTCTCTATTTGACGGCTGTTCCTTCCCTTATGATTGTATCTGTGGTCTTCATTTTATTTGTCTGAGGGGCTCAGTGAATAGCAGTGCCTCATATTTATAGTGTGCTTTACAATTTTTAAATTGTAAATTTTTAAATTTCAGGTACCCTGTCTCCTGTGACATTCGGCTACGGCCATAGCAAGCAGGGCATTCCATGCTGGGACCCCCTTCTGGAATGTGCTGGATCAAGGAGTGGTGGACAGGTCCTGGAGAAGCTCAGGACGCCCCACCTCTTGATTTATTAGATTCACTGCTGCTGCCTCTAAAATAACTTTTAAAAAGGAAAGTTGCGACCTGTTGGTGTACTGAGTTCACTTGGGCTCCCAGCATCCTGCGGCTCTTCCCCAAACCTGTTCTCTCTCCTGGGCTGCCTTTTCCCTCTTCGTCCACCTTTGCCGGATATCCCTTCACCTTCCTGTTCTTTCTGAAGTCTTTTCATGTTGTTCTGCCCCCCAGATTTTTATCCATAGACTCTCCTGCTTCTTATCTCACCATCTTCCTTTTGTCTGAAAGACTTCAGTTTTATGTGTCTGAATGAGATTTTCAAGTGCGCTACTTTAACCATAGGGTGTTGGGATCTGCAGATCCACTCTCTCTCTGAGTCCTCCCAGTCATATGCCCAACATAAACTTCCTGCTTCCAGCCCGGCCACGCCCTTCTGCCTTT